TGCGTTTTCAAATTAACACATGTGTGCTTCCACACCTGCTGGATGTGATTATCCAATTTGTTCATTAGTGTGGTCACTGGCAATCTGGGGCTTTGTAATGACAAGGAAGTAACCTCACAATCCCTATCTGTGTCTAAGGTGTGAAAATGTGTGTAGAGTTTTACAAATCACTGTATGTAATGTTTTGCAAAAAGGGTGAAGCAGACATTGTGTGTAACTTTGTGCAAATCTGTGGAGGTGTTTTGCTCATTGGAGTAGAATTTAGCAAATTGTGTGGAAATTTTTATTTTTGTTTGTAAACAATCGTAAAAAACGTAAGAGGCAGAAACCTTGAGCAGAACCATGGCTCAGGGTGGGCGGCCATCTGCCTCGACCAGTTGTGGGGGGGGGTTACAATAATAACAATAGGAATAGTAACAATAATTGCAGCAGAGGGTCGAGCAGGAACAGGGGCAGCAGGTGACTCGCAGCCACAGATCCAGACTCCACAGCTCCAGAGCCAGAAAACCTGCAGGAAGTGATAGGAGGAGAGAGGAGAGGGACGAGAAAGCACAAGACTACCAGAAAGGGGAGAAGTTGAGTTAGTAATATTTAATATATAATATATATAGAATATAATTCAATAAAATTGAATATTAATTTTTTGCCTGAACAGCGAGGCTTGTGATGTTTATGTTGTTGTTGAAATAAATTAACATTTTCAGTCTTGAAATAGTCTGAATTCTGAATTTCTTTAAAGCCGTGGTCGACTCTGTCCGGGCATGACCAGTCTGTAATATCACAAATACAGCTTAATCCCAAAACATCCACAAGATAAATTACATTTGGGCAATAAACCATATAAATAAACAAATCAACAAATGCATGGCATACATTACCACGTGGGAGATCAGTAATTTACTTTAGTATAAATTTTATGTAAACATGTAGTACCATCTTTCACCACACAGGTTGACCATTACAATCAAAAGGGGTGCTGCTTCATTCATTTGAAGAAACTAAAATATCTGGAGCTGGCCCCACCAACATAATACAAATAAAGGATGACAAACACAATGACTTCATTGAACTAAAATAACAATGACAAATAAAAGTTGAAATCTGGCTTCTCTTGGCTTTCATTACAAAATGACCCTTAGTCTGGCGTATTGAGTAACTGGTAAATGCTG